GCGTCTTCTCGCTTTTCTGCCCTGTTCAGTGCTGATCAAGGCATCACAGTTTGACATAGTTTGACCAGGTTGTTCTCATTACCAGGAATGACTAGGGCCGTTGACTGGCTGAAATGGACATCCTGTTGCAGGTAAATGTCTTCACGGTAGGGGGCGCAAAATTTGTGCAACCCTCTTTTGGTACACGATTGTTTTGGGTTTGTTGAACGGATCCATTCTCAAGAAGTCCCTCCAAGTAGATGTTTCCGAATCCCTCCAAGCCAGCTCACACTGAGAGATTGAGAGTCGTTTGCACGACCAACTTGATTAGTGTAGTCTGTCAATTTCCAAGGGAAAGGGTTGCTGGCCGTATGAGAGTGTATCCATGGCAACGATGAGGACCGAATAGTCTTACTGCGACTCCGCACGGGTGTTTGGAATTGTTGCAGACATTCCCTTTCCCAATTAAAACAAAGCAACTGATTTAATTGATTTAAGATTGGATATGTCCTTTTTGGGGTCTCATGAACTATATATTATACACAATATTTTACCATATATTTTTTTGCAGATTGATAGAACTATACACATATATATATATAATGGTTTTAATTAATATAGATTTATTACCATGGCGGCGTTCAGAGTGTCTCGGTGACCAGGATCGGCCACCTTACTTTGTGTTCCGCGAAAGGCGGGAAGTGGAACCTGGGCATGAAAAACCTCTGTGGGTTAGTTATTGAATGGGGATTTCATCATGATTAGGGTTTTAATGGGTTTTGAACCTTCAAAAAAATTGGAAATGGTCAATAAGGTATGGGTGGTTGATGATTGGAGGGGCTATAATATCCACTATATGGGGCTATTATATATGCTATCATCATCTATGATGGAAAGCCCCTCTTAACCAACCCGTAGATTTGGAATGACAAAGGGCTTTGAACACTGCGCAATTTGATAAGTTGGGAATCCAATATGGACCGCTTGGACCTGCTCTTATGATTGGGTAAAATATTGGATGTGGCAATATATGGTATACGGAGAGTAAACAAATGGAAAACTGCATGTTGATATTGTGTCTGAATGATTGCTGTATCTTACAAATACATACAAATACCGACTTCCTTGCAGCCCTTTTATTTTTGTCATGAACATCCTTTGCAGCAGCTCCAAATCTAATGCCGTTGATCTAGCGTCACATTGGAAGTAGTGAAGGAGTGTGTCAGCTCAACTGTGACACGGTGCAGAGATATTGCAGAGATATGTCAGGCTTATGTCAAGTCTATTATGTATCGCCAAATAAAGACACTATGTCACATTGTCAACATCTCATGGCAACTTCATGTAAAGCCTCTGGCAAATACAGCACTTTAGGGCGGATACCTCACAGGCTTTTGGTGGCCGGAGCAGTGGAGCGTGCCTTCAAAAACGACAGCCGTGTGCTGTTTGAGGTGCTCGGACCGAAGAACAGGAAAACTCCTTTAAATATCTTTAAATATGTCCAGGTATTGTCCAGACACATAGACCACAGTTTTTGGGGATTCTTCGGGTAATCAAGAATTGTGAATCGTAAATACATTGTTCTTGCGGCTTTGTCTGACAATAGGATATCCCATTCCATCCACTTGTGAATCATCATGTTTCGACAAACATGGGGGTTTCCATAAATGGTGGTATCAAAAAATGGTAGGTTTATAATGGAAAATCCCATTAAAATGGATGATTTGGGGGTACCCCTATTTCAGGAAACCACCATAATTATGGAAAATGCATGAAAACGCAAGTGTCACCTCAAGATTGGTGGACTTTCGAGGCCGAAACTCGATGAATCTTGAGGTCTTTGGGGCGACAGCAGCGGAGCGCACCAACTTTGCTCGAGAGTATAAGGACTGGTTAAGTAGGGTGGTTGAAATGGGCGGCAGACATGTTGCCTGTATTATGAATATGAACATATGTATATATATATATTATTCACCTTGTTAACCTAATTGTACATTGATATGCAGTACATGTTTGTAATGTGTAATGACTGGGACTCGCTTAAACCTGTGCAAATTCAAAGAGAATTCGACCAGCCCAAGTCGTCCAGATCTTCCAAACCACCAATGCCAGGCCCACCGTTCGCAACTTTATTCCAGTGCCGACTTCTGCTTGGCCATGCCCGGAGATGGTGCGGTGCATATGATTCCTACCCCTGGGCTTATAGCTGGAATGCATCATAGACGGGTTGTTGTCCCTGGACAATCCTTTGCCTTCCACTTCTCAGCCCAGGTCCAAAATTGTGGATAGTTACATTTTGCCCGACTTTACCCCTAAATATTTTGCAGTTGCAAAATTTGCAGCACGCCACAACGCCACGCCCTTCAAGCATTTTCTCATCACAACAGATCCAAAAGACAAGCCGTAGTATTGTTGAGGAAGTCAGTACTTTCTGCTGTTGGGTTCATCACGGCTGGACCGAGAAAGTATTTCTTCACAAACAATAAAAAGCCCAGTGGCAATAGCCACAGTCATGCCCAATCATAAAAGTCTGATTGAGCATCTTTTTGATCTCTTGTTAGATATGTATAGATATGTTGGATGACAGCTATGCGGTACGATCCATTGATCCATCCAATCTTTTGGACCGCTGATGATCATTGGTGATTCCCAGCAGGAAACAGTAATAGCCACCAGACCCACCAGATTGTGAGCATACACTTTTGTGCCTCCCCCATGCGGCTTGCTCTCATGGCTGCCATGGGACAAGGTCTGGCCCTGGAGTGGATGAGCTTTTGATAGCTTTTGTAAAATGTCAAGCCATATATACATATACACATATGTAGATATACATGTACATATACATATAGATTTACATATACACATACATATGGATATACACATACACATATACATATTCATATACATATACACATACACATATGCATATACATATACAGTACGTATGTAATGTAATGCAATGCAATGTAATGCAATGCAATGTAATGTAATGTAATGTAATGTAACGTAACGTATGTATGATTGTACATTTATACATATACATGTAATGTTTGTATATGTCATCTCTCTATATATATATATGTAATGATTATAATGATTGTGTAAAAATGATTGTGTAAACATGCTTCTGTATAATGATAATATCTATACTAGTTATTATATGTATTTTTAAACATACTGATCATATTATAATTATATATAATATCCTGTGTCGATTCAATATCAAACATGCCACCTGATTTTTTAAAATGTGAATACCTCCTTCGTGATTTTGTTTATCCAGGCACATTGATTGGTAGGTCACCTCTATACTCTGGTACATGTCCAGCCCTGGATGTGCAAAAAATAGCATCGTGAGTCGGCAGCCCCGCTGCCTTTAGAATCGGGAATCAAATTTGACGCAGTTTCTGCACTGGCTGTTGCTGAGCCAGGCACATCAAAGAGATGATGGAGCACGGGAGCTCAGGGCTGCGAGTTCTATGAGGCAAACTGGTGGATGGCCAAGAATATGTCATGACTTCAGTGGTGGATAATGATTTGTTGGTCAGTCCCACTGGGACATGATAGTCTAGTGGTGAGACTTGAGAAATTGCGACTGGCCAGGCAAGTTCAGATGGTGTCGATGTCGGAATATGATTATATATGCATATATGCAAATTATGATAAAGTAATATTAAGTAATCTATGGAGGTTTCCTAAAATGGGGGTGCCACCAAATCCATTTTAATATGATGTTCCATTATAAACCATCCATTTGCTAGTACCCCCCCCTTTTATGGACACCCCCATATCCCATCCCATCCCATCCTATTCGGATGCGCCAAGGCAGCGACAACGTGAGGGTCCCCAGTGGACGTCGTTGAACGATGATTTGGGTGTGTCCCTTAAAATGGAGGTATACCTGGTATACTGTGCCCCAAATTGTAACCATTTGAATGGGGAAAAATCATGAACATTTAGACATATGATGATAAACTCTTTGGCTTGGGGTTGATCAGCACATATGGCTATAAAGTGGAGGTAGGCCCGGTAGGCCCCATTTTCGTTGCTTTTTATATGGCGGTATGCAAAGGACACCTGATTGATGTTTAGGCAGCCATCCGGCCGTTGAGCTCCTTGTCCCGCTGGATGAATGAAAATCATGACCTCTTGAGTGATACCTGGCCATATGGCGGCCATATCTTTTTTGATAAACCGCTACAATGCTGTGCAGCATTCACAATTGTTTGGTTCTTTCACATATTTCATGGGATGATGTCCAAGGACTCTCTGTTCTGGGGGATTGGTTCAGAGTTCAGGCCACCAATTAGACAAAGACAGTATCAATTATCCTGGAGCCGCTGTGGCAGCTTGACATGACATGTCTATGTTCTGTCAGGTGGCCCGGGTCAGAGGCTGAGAGATGTGTGGTCTCCGCTCCAGCGAATACCAACACAAAGGTCTATAGGTGTCCAATGAATATATTTGATGAGTTTTGGTGTGCCAATGACAACTCGATAAAACTCGTATAGGATCAAATTTGCCCATCACGAGTCTGGATTTTGGTAGTTTGTGGCAAAGACTTGCATCCTAAGCCTAGCCTCGGCAACATTGGTGAAAGGTTTATTTGGATAGCCAATGTGTGTACTCAATCTACCAGCTTCATTTCGACATTTAAGCGCTTGATGCTCTGATGACTGCCAGTAATTGGTAGCTTGAAAGGATTCAATCGGCTTTCCTTATCCAGCTTATCCAGTTGGCTGAGTATCCCATCTTCTTCGTTGATTGAAGCGGCTCGCTGATTTCTCTGTCGGCGAAGCCGCCCAAATTTTGAAGACATCGGACATGTGACTTGTTTTCCCTACTCCAATACTTGAAGCTCCCAACGAATGATAACGAATGTATGTATGTATAGAGAACAAGAATATGTATCTATATAGTCTATATATAAATGATAGTAAAGTGAGTTTCCCTCCGATTTCCTGTGGTGATTTTGCCGTTGCCGTGTTGGATCGTTCACAAACATCGCTGATTTATTTGTCGCCCAGGCCTGGCGGCCCTTGGCCGAACCATGGCGCGGCCGGATGAGATGATGTCACCCAAAGGCGAGCAGCATATCATGATATATAATGATATATATAATTTATATTAATATTATTATTGTTATTATTATTAATATTATTATTATTATTAATAGTATTAATATTATTATTGTTATTATTATTGTTATTTTTACTATTTTTTATTATATATTATTCATGACTATTATAATGTAAATATATTATATATAATATTATGAATTGTTAAATGTTATTATATAACATTACATAACTATATATAAGCAGGTGATGGGTTCCATGGTCTCGTGCCAGGTGCCTCCCCCGAAAGTGCCATGAAAGGACGGCTGTCGGACAGCAGGAACGACAGGCCACGGATGGCCACGGATGGCCACGGATGGCCACGGGATCCGCTGTGGGTTGCCATGAAAACTCATCAAATATGGTGAAAAAATGGAGATTTAACTGGTTCAAGTATTTCAAGTATCAAAAATGGTGAACACATGGTGAGTTAAAACTGATTTTACCACCAAAAATTCTTAGACATTGAATTTGCCAAGAGAACGAAGATGAAATTCAGCCGTATCTGTATCTTTTCAATGGTGCAGTTGCCGGAGAGATGAAGAGACATGGGGACCTCATGAAACAATATAAAACCATGATGTGTCGACCTTGAACTTTGGGTTGAGCATGCAACCAAGCGGCGCTGTCCAGTACACAGCCAGATCGCACATGTTGAAGACCTTGTATTGGATTTAATAGGGATAAGCAAGTTGCCCATGATTAGAGGGTATACTTCTACTTACACCATAATAGTTTTACCGTTTTATCATGTTTTACCATAATAGTTATACCCAAGTATATTAGTTCCCCAAAATAGTTACATCCCACGATTACAATATTCATAGGGAAACTTACCATGCTTTGTACCAAGTCATTCCGCCCGTTTCAGGGCTCCTGGATCACGCGAGAGTAAGGGAGGTAGCCGCTGGGCTGTGGTGTCCGGGCTGGTTGCTGAATGTGTGTGTACACCTAAAATGATGCGCTAGCAAAATTGTCATTATTTGTGGTGATTACGCAGATTTTTGAGAATGTCATATAGGTGCGCACTCAAGCAAACAAGTTTTTTTTAATGTTTTTTTGGTCATGAACATCAAATTGCAGATAGAAGACTGATTAAAAGGAAGGTTAGCGTTCAAAAACGATGGCGCCAAAATGGTGTCAAGATCTCTACATCCTCCCAGCCCACCTTGGCCGGGCTTGACAATACCAGCAGTCGATAATAGCCAGTGTTTACCTACGCAGGTGCTGGGGGCATTGATGACAGCCTCACAGAGTCTTGGCCCAACAAAGGCATTTCCGTGGCACACTGAAAGTCACCTGAAACAGGTAACAGATTGCAGTTTTGGAATGCCAATGAATCTATTCCGATAGATGTATCACTGGAGTCACTGAGGAAGTGAAAATCTTTGAAAAACACTTGCTACGCTGCCAGTAATTGCATTGCCAGTATCTCTGCCAGATTCTGTACTGCCATTCTTCTTGTATATTCTTGTACCATGGCTGTTGGGTGGGACTCTTCCGCATCGTTTTCCTCGTTGGTCTCCAAGGAATTACTCGCCAGCTTGCACGATAGCCACCCTGCAAGCCAGGTGCTCAGCAGGTCACGGATCTTGTACTTCAAGTGATGTGATTGGTTCGAAGATGAGTGAAGAAGAAGGCACTTCAAACTTCGAATCTTTAAGTTTGCATATATTAAATACATAAAGCTTATTAATTATGATATCTACAAAATATGCCTCCAGCATATTTGCTCACACATTTCAGATGCAACAACTAGCTTTAGGTTTCTTTAGGTGTCTTTAGGTTTCTTTTCATAATATATGATTTTTATAGGTCTACAGAAATCTCCACTTTTTATAGACTTGTGCATCGCCAGGTGCCTCGCCATCCGGTGCTGTGAGACGCCTATCTGATCACAAAAACGACAGGCCGCAAACGCGGCCGTTGCGGCCGTTGCCCATCGGTATACCATGGTATACCTCGATTTATCCCAATTTATGGCCAGTGAAATGGTGAAACTATATGTGAAACTGATGAAGAAGAAACTACAGTATTTAGAAAATCCCTGGCCTGAGTCACGACAGTCAGGAGTTCTTGTTTTTTTTTTTGGATAGTTTAGCTGCAAGAGTGTGGTCACAATATAAGTTCATCAATAGTTCATCCATGTTCAACATGAGATGTTTCAGCATGCTTCACCATTTTTCACCAGCAACGTTTGGCCGAAAAGTGACCGTCAAGTCACCGCCACAGGGCGAACGACAACAAAGGGGCTCCTCGAGGCCGAGTCTGGTAGTCTGGCTCACGGGAGAGGGGATGGCAGAGTAGCTTTGGCAAGACGACCTTGAAAGATAGTGTATATTAATGTATTAATAGCAACAACATAATTTAATTATCATCATGTATGTGTCTTGCAATTATCATCAATTATCTATATTTCATATATGTGTGTATAATTGTGTATAATATGTATTAAGAATCTGTTAGTGTTTGTGTATTTTTTGCATCACTAATATCTTCAATAGAAATATGTCGAGAAAATCTGTTTCCGCTCTTTGTGGAGCTTTTTAGGTGGTGCCGTTGATGATGGCCTCAATGAATCTTGGCTGCCACAAAAAAGGCCCCAAGTTGCGGAAGTTGGAGGGTTGGCTTTTTACTGGAAAACAATGGAAAACAGCCCCAACCTGTTGGTGAAGCATGGTGAACCACTGGTGAAGCATGATCATATTGTAATCAAGCCTGCGGTTTTTTTTTGCGTCCACCATAGGAATTGCCTTTTAAGAGCTCCCCTTTTTTGAGGAATTGCTTGCCAGCTTACATGACAGCCGCCCTGCAAGTCAGATACTCGGGTGAACTCGGGATTCCGACTTCGGAGTATCGGCCTGGGATTTCACCGTTTTTCATGGTGATATGACAGTGATATGATGGATACGGAGAATTCACATTAAAATACCTCAAATATAGCAACACCAATAAGGAGGATTCCAATTTCATGGATATCCCCGATGTCAGCCAGATTTAATGTGTGCAAGTCATCTGTCACTAGTGATCCCTGCAGAGGCCAAAGGCGTAAACTGTGTCCATATGATGGTTTGCAATGGTGACTGCTATATTATTGTCCCCTAACAAACGGCAAAAGGTGACCACCTCAGTTCTTCCAAGATCTTTCAGGAGGGAGGACGGTCGAACAAGTTTCTGCAAGTTTCAGGCTACGGTGGCAGCATGGCACCCGTAGCTGTTCTCCAGGTGGGGAAGCCAAAGTATTGAGCTGTGGCGTGTTGAGTGAACGTCAAGGGCCCCATATGACTCTGAATTTGATTTGCAATGGCATAATGGGTCAAAATTGGAGGGGGGCCCATTTGGATGTTCAATGTTCAGCAGTCTTTGATATGTTTGATGATCTGTTTGTCGAAACATGCTGCTGTAGATTCTTCGTCTCCAATCACAATTCTCTGAGATAGATTCTCCATCAAAACACAAAACACCAATTATTAATCCTTACTAATCCTTACAAACCTATACAAACCTTACTATCTATTTGATGCCAAACACGGGGATTTCTCTTAGCTGAGGCTGCGTTGCTTCCCAGCTCAGAACCACCTTCACGTGGACGAGGCCACTGGGGACATGATGTCGATCTTGTTTGACTAAACCATCGTTAAACACCTATACCTGAAGTAATGATTGGATATTGTTAATGGGAAACAATGTTTCTCAAATCACCTGATTTTTTAGTGTGAACTTCATTTACAGGTACTTGTAATGCACTAAGACGGTATTATACACACATTTTTTGTCCATTTATGGCATGGCAATTGTCGGCATTTGCTGAGGCACCTCACGACCGCGGGACGGGAAACCACCGCGCTTGTCAGGCATGGTGATAGCCTGCCATGGCATGGTCTGTGCTTTTGATGAAGTCATAGGGTCTGTCTGAAGATGGGGGATATGGGGATTTAACCCTGCAAATCGTGTACATTTAACATCATTTAACAAGGAAAATCCATGGATTAGCCAATGGATGTGGAGGTACCGAAAAATTTTCAGACAAAGCATGACAAAGCCATTTTTGATTGATTTTATTTGCTGTAGTGATTTATTTGATGAACTTCTTTGCTGTATTTGTTGACTCTCTGTGAGCTTCTGTGTATGTTCTGGTGACTATGACATTGTGATTGGGGCATAGTCAGGCTGGAAAGTTCTTGAATATTGTTTGACATTTAATGCTTGTCCAAATGTACACCAACACCTGTTTTACCCATCTAATCATCTCCTTGTTAATGACTTCATGGTTGTAGAAACGATACGAACAAATTGTATTTGTTTCTACCAAACCATTTGCATCGCTGATGTGACACCCGCAAGGCAGTCCACAAGGTGGTCGAGGTGGCTCTGCAAACGGGCATCATCCTGCCATTAACTGGGGATGTTGCGGTCAAGAATCTTGGAGGATTGACACTGATTGACACTGATTGACACTGATTGACACTGATTGACACTGATTGACACTGATTGACACCGTTCCCCACTTTCATGGAATGGTGATACGGCCAATTCACAAGGATAAAATCAGAGGATAAAATCGTCCCAGTCTATGAATCCTTGGTCGTTTTGGTGATCAGATGACACGCATACTGGTGAAATGCCCATGGTTTCGCAGAGCTGTTTTTTTCTTGCTGAAGAATGAACGTGTTGACGTGGTTCTTGTTTTCAATTCAAGAACTGCCTCAGTGATTGCAAGCAAGATTAAGATAGATTAAGTATGGGTCAAAATAGAGGCGTGTAGGCCGGAGAACATCTACACCAAGGTACTGGTAACGAGTTGTGTTCATGTTTGGTAAACAACTGGGCCCGGTCTTACCAAATTCATCAACCTGTCAGAGATGACACTTCACCCTTGAATCCCTGTCCAGATCATATCTACCTTTTGGTAGCCTTTAGGCTGAGCCGATAGCACATCACTACAATTTGGTCAGATCAGTTTCACGGCTTCCAGCTACAGATACCACTGCTGTGGTATGACAATATCACTTATCACAGTATCATCAAAAAGGAAGCTTAGTTAGAACACATCCGAGTTAGGGACCATGGTCATGGTTAGCATTCACACCATCATGTCAACCACATCATCATGTTAACCCCATCATCATCTACCTGGTATACACTAATATATATGTTATATGTTACTGTATATGTTATATGTTATATGTATATCAATACATATGAAAGGATATGTTATCTACGTTGTATGAGGGGATGGGCTTGTCAAAATTATTGTTGCTGAAACAAGCAACGGAGCAATTTCGTGATTTTTGTGGTTCCACAAAGGTACCCAACGACTTGACCCATACTTGACCCATGCTCCACCAATTATATATATATAGTTTTTGTTGTTTTCTGCATATCTATATATATATATATGCATGTTCTTTCCCATATCAATATCACAATATCAATGGCATCATGTACATATATATATATATGTAGATATATATATATATATAATATATATATATATACATATGTATAATTTTGACCCCCCCTCATACCCGCTGCTTCCTACCTCCGTTGAACAGCGCCCTTTCCGTTGACAGTCACACCACAACATCGAGACGATGCCGCTCCAGAGGCCCAGAGCCGCTGTGGTTACCCGATGGTCGTATAACGAACTCTGAAATATGATGAAACCTGGTAAATTGAGTCCAAAAATAGAGATCTATGATAAATTGTGATGAACTATGATATAACACTCGAAACCTATGAGGTGTGGAGAATCATCATAGATCATAGCTGGCTTGGCCGGTTCACCCGCGAAAATCAATCTTTCTTTTGATCATGTATCATTTGAATCATTTGTATCAAGACGCCACACCTTCCGCAACAACTGGAATACATTTGAAATACTGCGCCATCGGATGTCAGGCTTAAAACAGTCAGTATTCAGGCAGACCATCTTGCCACAGTTCCCGTTTTATGCACTCCTTCGTGGCTGCCACGGGATGTTTGGAACCTCTTGATTTGGATCCTTTGGAACCGCTGAACCGGACAGACTTAAAAATACAAGCCCTAAAGGTGGCTACGTAGCCCGTGTGACATCCAGTGATGGTTCCAAGGGAGTGGAATTCGGTGGTTCGTTCAAGTGACGCTTGGTGGTTCCAGTTGTGACCCCTGTTTAGCCCCCTGGATGTTTAGTGCCATAAACTACCGAAATCCATGCCCCCTTTTCTAGCCTGGAGGCAGTGATTTAGCAGACCCCATTGGCCTGTCCAGACCCATTGTTTGATGGAACACATTGTTTACTGTAGAAAGGAGCTGATTTTTGGAAATTTGTAAGACATCTATTTTTCCCCGATGGGTTACATCACATGACACACGATGAATATATGCTAATGACTGAACACACGGGTTTGGAGCTGACGATGGACTAGGAATATAATGGATTGTTAGAACTGGTGAGCAGACATATCCCATATAATTCCCATGTAATGGTGTTAAAGGAGGTCAGATCCCATTCTCCATGGTTACCAAGCTGGGATGCGGGGATGCATGAGACCATGAGGCAATGGCTGCCAGCCCAGCCAGCTCTCCAACCGAGAAGAGGTGGTCCCCCATTGGGCCTCACAGCGAAAGCATGCGACAGCCGTCAATGATGAGACAACTGCGTTTTCAACACGTGGGAAGATTATGGAAGATTGAGCATGTGATATTCCAAAATGGGTCAGTTATACAAGTTATATGCAGTTTCAAGCTGTTTTTTCCAATGAACCATGCAGGTGTCACGTGTTGGAGTTGGAGTTTGTGTATTTTTTCATCGGCTTATTATTTGGGATTAAAGTTGCACCGTGGCCAGGCCTCCACCGTTGTCAGCTCCTCAGGTCATAGGTAAATCATTGTTATATAAATCAATGTCATCAGATACCATTTTATTGATGGAACTCATCTGTGTAGGACATATCATACATAAAAGTTATATTTCAATATATTTCATATAATCATGTATAGATATATAGTGTGTATATATATAGTGTTATAAATACAACCACGTATTTAGCATATTGTAAATAAAGAATTGTGAATTTGACATGTTGATTCCTTTGGCTTAAGCATCCCAGAGATGGACAACTTATATATAGATCGAACGTTGAACACACCTGCCAGGTAGTTTTCCTGTCAGACTCTCCAAGTCTCCACAGTGTTTTCACCCAGCAGGCCATAACCACCAACCCACAAGAGGAACACTGAATTCGTTCATGCTGCGAACCTCAGTTGCCCACTACCCAGAGGAATTATATTCTCCAGGCAAGCTCTTCATGTCCATAGCCTCCATACAGTCTTTTAACACAAAGGCTCGCCAGGGTCGTCCAAAATGAATACAGCAGCGAGCAAAAATTATTGTACATCACAGTCCCCCCAGCAAATTTGAAAAATGCAGTACTATTACTATTCAACCAACAGCCATCATAAATGATTGGCTGGGGCTGTCGCATTGATCAAGTCATATCAAGTCACATGAAGTCATACTATTCGGGATGGTTTGGAAACCATGATACAAAGACATGTTCCATCCAACTGCATGGCTTTTCCACATAGCTTGCTGTAGTACGATTGATCAGTTTTGATCCAGATAACACTAGAAAAACATAGAAAAACTTTGTGATTATTGTATGTATGTATATATATATACAAACTATATATATATACATATCTAGCTCTGTGAATTTTCATCTCCATACCGCTGAGGTCCTCTCCGTCAGAGAAGGCCGAAGACACGGGTTTGTCAAGTGCCAGGTGAACATGATTGAAAAACAGGTTGAGTCAAACCAGGCCACGCGCCGCGTCGCGCCACGGGAGGCTGTGCCATCCCCTTGGGGCAAAGTTCCAAGTGGCAAGACAGCCTTCATCAGCCTTGTCATGTCCTAAGTGAATGGAAACTGGTGGACTATGGTGGACTGTTTGATTTGTTTATGCCAGCAATGCCGTCCTGGATTTTTTGTTGATGGGAGATTGATAACTTATATAGATAATTATATATAACAATAGATATGTGGGTAGGGATACATGTGGTCCCTGGTCCACCTTGGCGAATGAATTCCATGCCAATGCACGAATGGTGCTTAGGCTTCTGACGAGAATGCCGCTTTTCGTCCCTACATGGAAGATGGGCAGCAGGTGCCGGTCTGGGCATGAGCGCAAATGCACGTTCAAGCGGGAACACTTGTGTTCAAAATGTCAAGGAGTCAAGGAGTGAACTGCGGACACACAAGCATGGACAAGGAGAAACCACTTTGGCTGTAAAAGCGATTGGAGGACGAGAGAGCAGTGAACCTATGAGTCTATGAGATTATGAGATTAATCATGTGACTTCCAAGAATCCTTACGGCCAAACCACATTTTGCTACTTCCAAGTCTATGGAATACCATATTGTATAGGCACAACATGGGACAAACAACACGGCGTTATTTGGCAATACAGAGTTGCTCAAGAGCTCGGCTCAACACAGGTTCTTCAGCCGTTGCTTCGAACTGGTCGGGACAAGGAGGACCACCGGACGTGAGCCTTTTTGGGAGATGCTGTTGCGTCACACACGTAATTTGGCCAATACAGTCCATGAAGTTTGGTAGAAAGCACCTGATGGCCTGCGACTGCCTGGGAACATTTGATGAAACTGGCTACAATCAAATGGCACCATGCAGCGGTTTGTACTGAGTGTGTTTTGGTAGACGTTAATCATTATCATGATTTGTCATCTGATTAAAATCCTTGACTACTGCTTGTGAATCTTGTGAATGGCCATAATTTGCGCCTTCCAGATCACATGGAGTCTCAAGATGATAGTTTCTTGTCTTCGCTTCATATTGGTTGTCCATATACAATATTTGTTTGGTCTCAGCACTCTTTACACCAGAGGTGAACCACTTTTTTTGCCTGCATCTGTGATGATTTCTGATTCTAAACTCTGTTTCTCCTTTTTCCTCAAGTGGTTGCACCACCACTTCTGGCACCGGACTCCCATCTTGACACTTCATTCGGTCTGGAATTCTGTGGAATCGTTTTCATCCATGGTTACCTCACCAGGAGATTTGGGATTTCTTCGGCGTCTACGATGGCCACGGGGGACGTTCAGAAGTGGACTATGTGGAGGTGCAGACGGCGCTGCCATCATGAACAATGGGTCAAGTAGGCTTTCGAAAAGATACAACAAGTCGAAACAACAAACTCTTAATATGGCCATTGAGACAAGAATTCACCGTCCAATTCCGCAACACTTAGAGAGAGAGAGAGAGAGCTGTGCAAGGCAGAACGAATTCACCACACACAAATTTAGTCCGGCTGATCTCAAATGGCTCATTAGTTCCAATTTGGGAATGGCCCAGGGTTGAGGACATCATTGGTGATTGATGTTGACATTGACTGAGACCGTCATATTGCCTGTTGCGGATGGTGCCCGGGGGTTGGAAACATGGGATTTTGTGTCCCGTTCCATGCCTCAGACATTTCCAGGAGAAGCTTCACACCACCCTGACGGTGGAATTGAGATCTCGGAAACCACAAGAGGCTTTGGTGCAGACGTGGGGAAGCCTGAAGCAGCTCCAGAACTTATAGATAATTATAGCTAGCATGTTCAATGGGTTGGTTCAAGGGAAAAACACAGAAAAACTACAGGAAACCATTGATTTACCAGTCACATACCAGTCATATAGGGTTTCCTGCACATTTTTCTCTTGAACCCAATTCTGTGACATGTGTGAAAATGTGAAGATGTCGGGACTCGAACATTTGATGCGAGTCACACTGGAAGTCTCAGCGTTTCAGTGGCGGTAAGGCCTGAAATCCTCCCATTTTGACCCATGGCCATGGCCCAGATCATCCCAGATCCAAAGATCCACTTGTGACATCTTGTGACTGTAGCAGCGTAGCACATCTCAGGTTCAAGAAAGTGGACGGCCAGCTTGCCATGATGGGTGTCGCTTGGCATTGTTGGGGCACTTCGGAAACCATCGGAATCCCATAATCCCGATCCAGCACGGTATGACTTGACACACCCATGGCCTTTTTCCTGCAAATCATTTCTGGTACAGTTTTTGTAAAGCGACATAATGATGGGTTTGGTCCGTTTGGAATGCCATTTGATGTTGCTGAATAGGAAACTTGTATTGGGAGGGGCAGAGGCGCATATCTTGCTGCTCCAAACTGTAGGCTATCTATGACTACCTGTAGTATGTAGTATGTAGACATATGTATAGTATATAGACTCTCAATGTAGACATCAGCTTCATTTCCCAGTGATGTTTTTTTTCTGGCAACGGGACCCGGGAGATCCTCCAATCATTGATATTAGCGAGGCTTGGAACAGCGGCTGCACAGCCACGGTGGTCTTGGTACATCAGTGCGGCCAGCAGGCACTGGACGTGTGAGTAGATTTATCACGACATTCATGACTTGTCTTGTGATGGTGAGTTGTCACATGTTGGGTTTTGAACTTGCTTAATTTGCTTGATTATGTGTGAGATCGCGGAACGGAAGCTAGCAGCTCATAGTGCGCGGGTCCATAGAAACCGCCATGTGGCTGTAGTTTCCTGCGCACATCTGCGCACTTTGAATTCAGATTTTGCGCCAAATTCACAGGCCCTGACGTCGTTGTGACATGTTGTGACAATTATTTTCTTGAATTGTTCAAGTTATTCTTAACGCATGGCCAAGTGTACCCTCTGAGGAAATGATACATATTATATAATTAATATTTATATTTAACAATCAATCAAATCAGGCTATCCAAGTCACCCTGCAGCCAGGGCGTTCGGTCAGTGCACGTGGCCAACGTGGGTGACTCGCGGGCTGTCTTGGTGTCACCCAGTGGAGACAGCCGACGTGTGCGCCAGAGCGGGCTCCATTTCATGGCGTTTTTGAAAAGTCCTTGAAGATTGAATCCCCCAACAGCGGCTTGAATCTATTTGAACATGAGAGAGCCTACAATATATATATATAAATACATGCACTTTTATATATATAACAATCCTGGAGTAGATAGAATCCAGTTTCGTAGGGGGCGTTTTTTTTTTGAAAAAACCCAGGGTTTTTTGACCCAATACTAAACTATATATTCGGACCCCCTAGATAGAATATTCCAAAATCTACTCCAGGATGCTCAAAATGTGTTTTTTTTCCTTTCCTTTTCAAAACCTTCCAATTTATTTTTTTCTTTCAAATTTTCCTTTTCAAACAGCTGCAAAAAATGAACTTTGGATGGTAAGATCGTAGACGTAGATTCCTACTTTTTTCATTTCCTTTTCCTTTCACACTTTTCCCTTCAAAAATCTGTAATTGTGAACTTTGGGTGGTAAGATCGTGGATTCCAGCTTTTCTCATGCCATGTTCCTTTCAAAGTTTGATTCCTGCTTTTCTCATGTCCTTTTCCTGTCACAGTTTTCCATTCAAAAACCTTCAATTATGAACTTTGGATGGTAAGATCGTGCATTCCAATTTGTTTCCTTCCATTTTCCTTCCAAGTTTCCTTTTCAAACAGCTGCGAGAATGAACTTTGGATGGTAAGATCAGCTATTCCTACTTTTCTCATGCACTCTTCCTTTCAAACACAGTTTTCCATTCAAAAACCTTCAATTATGAACTTTGGATGCTCGATCTTGGATTCCTACTTTTCTATACTTTTCTCATCTCCTTTTCCTTTCGCAGCTTTCTTTTCAAAAACCTGCAAGACTGAACTTTGAATGGTAAGATCGTGGATTCCTTCTTTTCTCATCCCATTTTCCTTTCGTTGCTTCTTTTCAAAAACCTGCAATTTCAACTTTGGATGGTAAGATCTTGGATTCCTACTTTTTAGATGTCATTTTCCTTTTAAAGCTTGCTTTCAAACAGCTCCAAGAATGAACTTTGGATGGGTAGATGTGGAGGAAGGGGCAGGGAGCACCACAAATACATGCTTAATCTTAATCCCAAACATCCTTTAAAAATCAGTCTTTTCATGGTTCTAGAGGATATTCTATCTATAGTTTTGCCCAACTGTCCTAGCACAGTACTAGCACAAAATGAACTTTGGATGGTCGATCTTGGATTCCTACTTTTCTATACTTTTCTCATCTCCTTTTCCTTTCACGGCTTTCTATTCAAAAACCTGCAAGACTGAACTTTGAATGGTAAGATCGTGGATTTCTTCTTTTCTCATCCCATTTTCCTTTTGTTGCTTCTTTTCAAAAACCTGCAATTTCAACTTTGGATGGTAAGATCTTGGATTCCTATTTTTTAATGCCATTTTCCTTTTAAAGCTTGCTTTCAAACAGCTCCAAGAATGAACTTTGGATGGGTAGATGTGGAGGAAGGGGCAGGGAGCACCACAAATACATGCTTAATCCCAAACATCCTTTAAAAATTCAGTCTTTTCATGGTTCTAGAGGATATTCTATCTATAGTTTTGCCCAACTGTCCTAGCACAGTACTAGCACAAAATGAACTTTGGATGGTCGATCTTGGATTCCTACTTTTCTGTACTTTTCTCATCTCCTTTTCCTTTCACGGCTTTCTATTCAAAAACCTGCAAGACTGAACATTGAATGGTAAGATCGTGGATTTCTTCTTTTCTCATCCCATTTTCCTTTTGTTGCTTCTTTTCAAAAACCTGCAATTTCAACTTTGGATGGTAAGATCCTGGATTCCTACTTTTTAGATGCCATTTTCCTTTTAAAGTGTGCTTTCAAACAGCTCCAAGAATGAACTTTGGATGGGTAGATGTGGAGGAAGGGGCAGGGAACACCACAAATACATGCTCAACTCCACGCATCCTTTAAACATTCAGTCTTTTCATGGTTCTAGAGGATATTCTATCTATAGTTTTGCCCAACTGTCCTAGCACAGCACTAGCAAAAATGAACTTTGGATGGTCGATCTTGGGTTCCTACTTTCTATACTTTTCTCGTCTCCTTTTCCTTTCACAGCTTTCTATTCAAAAACCTGCAAGACTGAACTTTGAATGGTAAGATAGTGGATTATTTCTTTTCTCATCCCATTTTCCTTTTGTGGTTTCTTTTCAAAAACCTGCAATTTCAACTTTGGATGGTAAGATCTTGGATTCCTACTTTTTTAATGCCATTTTCCTTTTAAAGTGTTCTTTCAAACAGCTCCAAGAATGAACTTTGGATGGGTAGATGTGGAGGAAGGGGCAGGGAACACCACAAATACATGCTTAATCCCAAACATCCTTTAAAAATTCAGTCTTTTCATGGTTCTAGAGGATATTCTGTCTATAGTTTTGCCCAACTGTCCTAGCACAGCACTAGCAAAAATGAACTTTGGATGGTCGATCTTGGATTCCTACTTTTCTATACTTTTCTCATCTCCTTTTCCTTTCACAGCTTTCTATTCAAAAACCTGCAAGACTGAACTTTGAATGGTAAGATCGTGGATTCCTTCTTTTCTCATCCCATTTTCTTTTTGTTGCTTCTTTTCAAAAACCTGCAATTTCAACTTTGGATGGTAAGATCTTGGATTCCTACTTTTTAGATGCCATTTTCCTTTTAAAGTTTGCTTTCGAACAGCTCCAAGAATGAACTTTGGATGGGTAGATGTGGAGGAAGGGGCAGGAAGCACCACAAATACATGCTTAATCCCAAACAACCTTTAAAAATTCAGTCTTTTCATGGTTCTAGAGGATATTCTATCTATAGTTTTGCCCAACTGTCCTAGCACAGTACTAGCACAAATGAACTTTGGATGGTCGATCTTGGATTCCTACTTTTCTGTACTTTTCTCATCTCCTTTTCCTTTCACGGCTTTCTATTCAAAAACCTGCAAGACTGAACTTTGAATGGTAAGATCGTGGATTTCTTCTTTTCTCATCCCATTTTCCTTTTGTTGCTTCTTTTCAAAAACCTGCAATTTCAACTTTGGATGGTAAGATCCTGGATTCCTACTTTTTAAATGCCATTTTCCTTTTAAAGCTTGCTTTCAAACAGCTCCAAGAATGAACTTTGGATGGGTAGATGTGGAGGAAGGGGCAGGGAACACCACAAATACATGCTCAACTCCAAGCATCCTTTAAAAATTCAGTCTTTTCATGGTTCTAGAGGATATTCTATCTATAGTTTTGCCCAACTGTCCTAGCACAGCACTAGCAAAAATGAACTTTGGATGGTCGATCTTGGGTTCCTACTTTTCTATACTTTTCTCGTCTCCTTTTCTTTTCACAGCTTTCTATTCAAAAACCTGCAAGACTGAACTTTGAATGGTAAGATCGTGGATTATTTCTTTTCTCATCCCATTTTCCTTTTGTGGTTTCTTTTCAAAAACCTGCAATTTCAACTTTGGATGGTAAGATCTTGGATTCCTACTTTTTTAATGCCATTTTCCTTTTAAAGTGTGCTTTCAAACAGCTCCAAGAATGAACTTTGGATGGTCGATCTTGGATTCCTACTTTCTATACTTTTGTCATCTCCTTTTCCTTTCACAGCTTTCTATTCAAAAACCTGCAAGACTGAACTTTAAATGGTAAGATCGTGGATTCCTTCTTTTCTCATCCCATTTTCCTTTTGTGGTTTCTTTGCAAAACCTGCAATTTCAACTTTGGATGGTAAGATCTTGGATTCCTATTTTTTAATGCCATTTTCCTTTTAAAGCTTGCTTTCAAAAAGCTCCAAGAATGAACTTTGGATGGGTAGATGTGGAGGAAGGGGCAGGGAGCACCACAAATACATGCTTAATCCCAAACATCCTTAAAAAAATCAAGTCTTTTCATGGTTCTAGAGGATATTCTATCTATAGTTTTGCCCAACTGTCCTAGCACAGCACTAGCACAAATGAACTTTGGATGGTCGATCTTGGATTCCTACTTTTCTGTACTGTTCTCATCTCCTTTTCCTTTCACGGCTTTCTATTCAAAAACCTGCAAGACTGAACATTGAATGGTAAGATCGTGGATTTCTTCTTTTCTCATCCCATTTTCCTTTTGTTGCTTCTTTTCAAAAACCTGCAATTTCAACTTTGGATGGTAAGATCCTGGATTCCTACTTTTTTAATGCCATTTTCCTTTTAAAGTTTGCTTTCAAACAGCTCCAAGAATGAA